GTGGAAAATTGCAGCACAGAGAGTTTAAATATTCCAGGGGCACCTGGATGGCTTAGTCAGGGAAGCATCCGACTTCAGCTCAGGTCATGATCTCACAGTTCGTGGGTTCAAGCCCTGAGGTGGACTCTGTGCTGACAGCTCAGAGCCTGGAGCCTGCTTGGGATTCTGTGTCTCCCTGTCTCTCGGCCCCTCCCTTACTCTCACTCTGTCTTGCTCTCTCTCTCAAAAATAAATAAATGTTGAAATAAAAACAAACAAACAAACAAATAAATAAATACTCTGCCTGAGGTCACATAGCTAAGGAAGTGACATTTCTCCCCAGATCCACTCCTGGCCACACCCCCTGTCCAGTGTGCTCCTCAAGTTCCCATAGGTGCATTGTAAAAGCCTTCTACTGGCAGTGGGGGCGCTATATTTATCTGCTACACACTCACTTCCCCTGGTAGGCTGCTTGTTCTGTGTCTTAGTCATATGCATTTCCTCCACACAGGAGGTTCTCAGTGAATGTTAGCTGAAGGATATAACTGACCCACACATCCCAGATACAGCCACTCTGAGCTCCTGACCGTTGTCAAAATACCTTGCTCTTTCTTGCTCTTATTTCAGTCTATAACGCTTTTTTCCCCCTATCCTTTTCCATTTGGTAGCCTCCTATTCATCCCTCAAGGCCTTCACTCACCTGTCACCTTCTCTGTGAAGCCTTCCCCAACTGTCCAGGCAGAGTATCCTGCTTTGACTTCTGGGTTCCTCTGACCTCTGCAAACACCTCAGCTAGAGCCCACCCCTACGCTATCAGGGGGCCATTTTTGTGCACATGCCCGTCTTCCTCCATCGTCTGGGGGACATTTTACCTCTCTCTGCATCCCCTGATGACTAAAAGACCCAGCAGGTGTGCACTGAACAAGTGAGAGATGGATGGGAGCATAAAGTGCACACCCCCTTTGCCATTTTCCACATGGAACTTTCCAGCCAAAGAAAGTTTGCTGTTCCTCTTGCCTAAACTACCCAGTAAACTGGCATTAGAGGAGTCCCTTGCTGACATGATAGGTAAAGTAGCTAGATAGGCCCTCCTCCTTTCCTTTCGATTATCCCCCTCTATCCAGGCTGTATGTGGGCACTTCCCACATCAGGGAGACAGGGACCAGGAGGCCTACTTTCTTTCCTCCAAGGTCACATCTTAGGGAAATGAAATTACTGCCCTTGGAGGGAGGAGACCTGACACAGCCCACCCAGGATAGGGCCCTGGGGGCCTACTCTCCCTGGCCCTGAACTTGGGAGCCAGGCCCTGCCATGCCTCAACCTCTTCCCTGCCCCACCATCATAGATACTCTGAAAGTCAGGCTGGAAGGGATCTCAGAGAACATGAGATCCAGAGAACCAAAGGCACAAGGGGATAGGGGAGGGAGGCACCCAGTGGCGCAAATGGTCTTGGGCCTGGCCCAAGGGTTTCCCCATGCACCCCAGAAGCCACAGCAAAGAAGGAAACATTCTTTAGTCCTGTGTCATTGCTTCCACTCAGGCCGTTACCGTGTTCCACATGGACTGTCACAGTAACTGATCTTTCTTCCCCACCAATACATCCTCCACACAACCAGAAAGTGATCCAAATATCAAAGCTAATTTTATTTTTTTTATTTATTTTTAAAGTTTATTTATTTATTTTGAGAGAAAGAGAGAGTATGCATGCATGCATACGCAAGTCAGGGAGGTGAGGAGAGAGAGAATCTCAAGCAGGCTCCACGTTCTGTGAGGAGTCCTATGCGGGGCTCGATCTCACGGACCATGAGACCTGAGCCGACATCAAGAGTTGGACACTTAACCAACTGAGCCACCCAGGCACCCCTCAAAGCTAATTTTAAAGCCCTTCATCTACCAGCCACTAAATGAAGTCTCCATTCTTACTTGGTACACAAGACTAAAAGGCTCTGGTCCCTTTCCCCTTTCCACTTTAACCATGGCCTTTGCCACTACTCCTCCATTCTATAGTCTAGGAGAAGCCAGAGCTTCTCATGCACCCTTGCTCTTGTACATACTCTGTTTCTCCACCTGATGAACCCGGCCTTGAAGACTCAGCACAGATGTAGTCACTTCTTGGTAAAGCCTGCCCTGATATCCTGCAAAAGTTAGTGTGTCAGGTAAGAATGCTCCCAGCTGAAAGCAACAGGGAACCCAAGCAAAGGAAAGCTTCTGACCCTCAATTGCTAGTAGAGTCTCCTAAGGAGATTTAAAAAGTCACCTAAGTGGCTCAGTCGGTTAAGCGTCTGACTTCGGCTCAGGTCATGATCTCACGGTTCGTGGGTTCGAGCCCCGCATCGGGCTCTGTGCTAACAGCTAGCTCAGAGCCTGGAGCCTGCTTCAGATTCTGTGTCTCCCTCTCTCTCTGACCCTCCCCTGATCACGCTGTCTCTCTCTCTCTCATAAATAAATAAAAACACTTAAAAAAAAAAGTCCGCATCCACTGGACACATGCCAGACCAATTAAATCAGAATCTCTGTGGGGGGCACAGGCACCAGTAGGTTTTGGAACCTCTCATAGTCTAATGTGAAGCGAAGCTGAAAAGCACTGAAGGCAGGGGTTTATTATTCTCACACAATGAAAGTAGCTGGTGGTTGCTAGTATTGGTTGAGTGGCTCGGTGATATTCAGGCCTATTTCTCAGTGATACTCTTGAACTTCCCTTTCTGCCTTGTTGCCTCAGGGTCACAGGATAGCTATGGTTGATTCTCCCCGTTCAAAGCAGGGAGAAAACTGCAGGGAGAAGGAGAGGGCTTAGCCCATCCTCTTTTATAAACAAATCAAAGACTGTCCCAGAAACCCCTTCAGCCGACTTGCCCCTAGACGTCACTGATCAGAACTGCACCACCCCCGGCCACAAAGGAGGCTGAGAAAATGGGCAACAGGATTTCCGATAGACTGAAAGGACCAACCAGGCTCTATCAGGAGGAACTACTCCCAAATCAGCGGGCGTTATCAAGGAAGGAAATAAGGCTTGGATATTGAAGGATGGCAGAATCCTGCCACCCCAAAATATGCCACTTTGACATTAGGATTCTTTTGAGCTCACGTCACATAAAAAACAACAGATGCAGGAAGAGCATTCTAATCCCCCCCCCCCCCCCCCCACCTTCTTTCCTGAGAACAGGAGACAAAACTCCGATGTGAAACATGCCCTCCTTGTATAGGGAGAAAAGGAACATTCAATGGGAAGTCAAAGCTGAGGCAGTTCTGTACACACACAGAACTTGTTAAAAAATAATTTTGATCTTTCTCTAGCCGCCCCATATATTTTAGTTACTTTTCCAGAAGAAATTCCAGAAGATTTTCTGCCCCAACCTTGTCAACCCCCGGCCTGCACTCTGCACCATTCTGCCTGCTTACCCCTCCCTCTCAGTTCCTTCTCTGCTGAGCACTGCACTTAGCCACCCTCCACTAACCACGTGAATGCTCCAGCTGGACTCTCCTATCTACACACGCCCGCCCACTTCTCCCGCAGCTGCCATGCTGGGCACCCCAGGCCTGCTCTTCCTTGCTAGCTTCTCTAGTCTGAGAAGGAGCTCACTCCATCAACAGCCATGCTCAACGCATGTGCCTTATGTAGCTAAACTCCTGGCCAGTGTGAGAGAAGAACAGTGTGAGGGGTAGGATTCCAAATGTCTGCGATTCCACATTCAGCCACAAGCCCAAAACGGACACCCAAGCATTTGGTGGCAGGGTGCCTAACAAACAACTAGCAAGCAACCCACAGACAAAATTTTTGCTTCTCCTGCCCAAGTGTAGAAAATGTGTCTTATCTGATTTCTTGGACAAGTGTGAGTCTGAGAAATGGCCCTGTTGATGTCACAAGAATGAGTCAGTGGTGACTGTCTCCAGAGATGATATCAGCCGATATCGGATTCTGGCCCCCATCACACTTCTGGCTGCTTGTTTAAAGGTCACCTCCAGGGCCAGCTTCACGGGCATGTGGCCCGTGCAGTCCCACGGGGCCCCATGCCCAGTACTCAGAAGGGCCCTGCGCTTGGTTTTACAATCTGCTGTTGCCATCTTGAAGTTCTTAACAGTTTTGGAACAAGGGGCCCTATGTTTTCATTCGGCACTGGGCCCTGAAATTATGTGTCCAGCTCTGGTCAGTCATACAGTCTCTTACAAAATCCAGTGAGGTTTTCCTTCTAGATGGGTCTCCACAGTATATGGGCTCGGCCTCCTTTGTGCAAGTCTGTGTGACACGCTGCTCTCCAGTGCTCTTTTCCTGCATTACGAGAAGGTGCTATGATGGGATGGCACGGGCTGCAAAGGGTGGTTGGGATCAAGAGACCCTGGGGAACGAGCCCTCCCTGGCTCCCGGACATAAGGGAGACTCAACAGGACCAACTTGGGGGCCCAGGGCTCCAGCAAACAGAGACAACTGGAGTCAGCTCCAACCCGAAACAACCAGCAGGAAAACTTGTAGGTGACCGTCTGACTTCAGACGCCTTGAAGAGCCCTTTCCAACTCTGGAGGGGGCCATCTACCAACCGTGCAGAGAACAAACTAAGCCAGGGAGGCCTGCCAAGCAGCCAAGAACATTGGACACCCTGGGAGGAGCCAGGAGATGAGGTCCCCCGGAGAGAGACAAGTTTTCCAAAGAAAAGGCTGAGGGAAGTTTGTTCACTGTGGAAGAAGGTGGCACAGGGCACAGTAGGACAGAAAAGGAGAGCAGGGGAGGGGCCGAACTGGGGGAGACGACTGCTGGAGGCAACGGGTGTGAGATGGGGCCCACCCCAATTCTGACCCCCGGGCCTGCCAAGCAGGGATCCTTCTGCTGGCTCAGGCTCTGGGCGAGAGGCAGAGGATCTGGGAGGCAGAGTCTCAGCCCCAGCTGGGAGAAGAGGGACAGAAGACAGCAATGTCAAGGCCTTGGGAAGGGAGCCTGAGAGGGAGAAAGGAATTGGGGCCTGGTCTCCCCATGGCAGAGTTCATCAGGGTCCAGGATCTGCCCTGTCTTGGCATCACCTGGCCAGGCCATGGCTCAGCTATCTGACACCTGGGGCCCGGAGTCACATGCCAGGAAACTCAACACTCTTGGGGCCCGGCCCCCAACTTCCAGCAGCTACGAACAAACAGGGCTTCTAGAGGAGGAAGCGGTTCTCCAGAGCCAGGCAGCAGGGAGACTACTTCCGGGGAGAGGACACACAGGAGAAGACTCTCCCACAAACAGGGGTGAGAGGTTGAGAGGAGAAGGGAGGGGAAAAGGGAGGAAGAGCCGGGTGGAGAGGACAAAGCTGGGGCAGACAGGGGGTCGGGCGCTCCAGGAAAAGGGGGAGATGGGCACAGAAAGCAGGCCTTAGTCACCTAGCCTAGCTGAACGCCCTGACGTCGATCGCTGATCTGTCTTCCTTGTCTCCTTCACCCTGGTGCCAACCTGGCCCTCCGCTGCCTAGAGGGCCCACCTGGCAGCCACCCAGGTAGGTTGGCAGAAAAAGACATTATTCCTATAAGGGAGATTAGTACATGGGCAGAAGTAGAGCCTTAGAAGCCCCCAGACGCAGAGTGATCAAGGAGACCATAGATTAGCCCTCCAGCATCAAAGAGACGCTAGAAAAATCTCAGGCCCAGGGAATCTTTTACCCAGAGGGCCTGAAAAAGGAGCCTTAAACCCCAAAGAAAAAGCTGAAGTCACCCAGGCCTGAGAGAACCCTGAAAGGAAGGCCCCGGCCCACAGAGATCCCCACGGAGGACCTCCGGAAGAGAGAGCTGGCAGTGGGGAATGGAATTTTTTTGACTCATTCTTCCTTGTGGGGGCTTTTCTTCCCCAGATCCTACTGCACTCCAGGACTATGCCCATCTTTGGCCATGCTCCTACAAGCCGGTCACCTCCTGTCTCTGCTGCTGGCGCTAGGCACAGGTGGCACTGTGCCCAGCCCCTGGGTACCTCCTCAGGGCTGCTACGTGGCAGAAGAAGCTGGTGAGAGGACATTCCGCTGCAGCCAGGCAGGCCTGAGTGCTGTGCCCGCCGGCATTCCCAATGACACCCGCAAGCTCTACCTGGATGCCAACCGGCTGGCATCAGTGCCAGCTGGAGCCTTCCGGCACCTGCCTGTCCTGGAGGAGCTGGATCTGTCCCATAATGTCCTTGCCCACCTCTCAGGGGCTGCTTTCCAGGGCCTGGCAGGCACTCTGCGCCACCTCGACCTTTCTGCCAACCAGCTGGCCTCGGTGCCTGTGGAGGCCTTCGTGGGCCTGCAGGTCCAAGTGAATCTGTCCGCCAACCCATGGCGCTGTGACTGTGCCCTCCAGGAGGTGCTCAGGCAGGTGAGGCTGGCTCCGGACACTGGAACAGGCATCGTGTGTGGCCCAGGGGCCCGACCAGACTTCGTGGGGCAGCAGTTCCTGACTCTGGCAGGGGAGGAAGAGCTGTGTGGGACGGGGCGGGGCGGGGCCCAGCGGAGCACTGATGTGGCCCTGCTGGTCACCATGGGGGGCTGGCTGGTGCTCGTGGTGGCTTACCTGGCCCACTACATGTGGCAGAACCGGGATGAGACCCGACGTCCCCTCAAGCAGGCCCCCGTGGTGCCCGTGCGCTCTGAGGACTCCTCTACCCTCAGCACAGTGGTCTGAGGACCAGGGCCGCGCCTCCAGCCCCATGCCCCACTCCTACTGCTGTGCCCTCTCTTTTCCTCTAACACTGCCTTCTCTGCAGCCCCATCGCATCCCCCAAATTCCTCCCCCCTTCCTCCTCTCTCTCCCCTAAACACCTGATCTCTCTCCCTCTCAACAAACACCACCTTTGAGGCCTGGAGGTTTTGGTGCCTACTATGCCTGAATTGTGCTAGACTCAGAGACTCTAAGCTCCTGAGTCCACGGTGGGTGGGGGTGGGGGTTGGCAACAGAACAGAGAATGATGGTAGGTGGTACGCGCACCAACTCAGAGGTGGGTGCAGGCGGCTGTGGGAACACGGAGGAAGAAGCCTCTACCTGGCTGAGGTGATCTCAGACCTCACTGTGTGGATGTCTGAACTGACATTTTAAGAATGAGGGGTGCCTGGGTGGCTCAGTTGGTTGAGCATCTGACTTCAGCTCAGGTCATGATCTCACGGTTAGTGGGTTCGAGCCCCGCGTCGGCCTCTGTGCTGACAGCTGGCTCAGAGCCTGGAGCCTCCTTTGGATTCTGTATCTCCCTCTCTCTCTGACCCTCCCCTGATCACACTGTCTCTATCTCTCAGAAATTAAAAAAAAAAAAAAAAAAAAAAGAGAACGAGAAGGGCTTTGGGCAGAAGAGGGAGGACCCTAGCGAAAAAGCAGTAGACAGAGTCAAAGATGCAAACAACTTGGTAAGTATGGGCACCAATAAGACCTACCTGGGGGTTGGAAAAGAGGGTGCAAAGAGGGGCAAGGAGATGGTGGGCCAAGCTGGAGGGGAAATCAGAAACTGAGGTGCAGATAGATTGAGAAGGACTGTGTGAGCTCCTGCTCTCTTCTATCTACGGAGAGGCTCCCCCCTTACTTCCTGCCTCTCTCGGGGCCCCAGGCTCCTCTCCCTGTGCCTTCTACTGGGTGCCTCCTGGCTGAGAGGCCTCTGCTTCCTTTTCCAGAGACTCTCTATCTTCCTGCTCTCTTCTTTATACACTGATGGGCTTTCTGAACCCTTTCCCTCAGGGGGAAGAGTGGTCTCCTCTATGTCTGAGCTGAAGATGGGTCATGAAGAGTTGGAGGGAGATAGGGATGAGGAGGTCTCCCACCTCCAGAATATCACGGGACAAGTCAATAAAGTCACTTTTACTAATGCTTCTGATCTCTTCCTTATTGTTCATTTCATTGGGTGCATGTGGCCGGACAAAGAGGAGTGGGAGAGTGCTGAGCCCTTTACCACGGCCTCTGCCACCACTTTGGGGGTGAGTGCTCCTGCTGGGTTGGATGCCAACTCCTCTCTCCCCTCCTACCTCCCAGTTCCTGACACCGGAGTCTATCTGCTAGGGATGCCAGGGCCTATGAATTAATGATAATGGAACCAGAATGGAGGATGGGAGGAGGCCAGGGGGAAGGTGAACAGGGAGGAGGGAAGGAGGGCAAGGTCCAGGCACCAGTGATCGACCGGGACATAGGAAGCAAAGGGAAAGAGCTGTTACCCTCTTGGCAATCTCTCGTTTCTCTCATTGGGAATCTGAGCAGGGGGTACAGAGAACCTGGATGTGCTCAAAGTTAATGGAAGAACTCCTGGGGCGGAGGAGTTGCCTGAAGAAGGGGAGTCATATGAGATATCCTTATCACCAAATGTTCTTCTCAAGGGACCAGAGGGGTCAACGCACCCCCTCCCTTGCCCCCATGCGGGATGCTACCCATGCAACCTCCAAGGAGTAAACTGCTGCTTTGGGGAATCTCATGGAAACTCCAACAGAAGCTGAAGATAAGAACTACTGAGCCAGGGTTCCACCCAGCTTGGGGCAGAGTCTGGGGCAGATGGAGAAGCCGCTCAAGAAAAGACAAAGAGGAACCCACTACCTCCCCAGCCCCTCTGGCCCACCCTGACTTCCCTGCCTCCTTTCCAGCATCCCCACCCCTTCTCTTGCCATCTCTGAGGCTCCTTCCACCACTTCAGGGCTGAGCTCCGTCATATCACCCAGGAAGCCTCAACTTGACTCATCTCCAAAAAACCTGAGACTTCCCCCCCCCCCCATCTGCTTTTCTCAGGAGACCTGGGCCTCCCCACTTCCGGGGATGCTCAGGGATAGGGAAAGAACTAGGGTGTGGGGAGTTTCAGGCTGCAGTTTGACCTCCACCCCAGCCACACCCTGGCCGGGCCCTTGGAATCTTGGCCCAAACCCTATCATACCCTTCATCAGTTTCTCCCCTGCCACTGTCTGCTCGCCCACCCACTCCTGGAATCAGGCTGGGACGCATCTCACTGGATCCTGGGAAACAGACTATGTAGGCCTATGGGGGGTAGGAGCCTGGAGGACAGGTGGGGCCCCAAGTCTCTATTATCTGTGTCCATCCCTGGAGCCTCAATTGACTTCCTGTCATCCTAAGCAGCAGAAACGGCATCTTAAAGATCCGCAGAGAGTCGGTTCCCCTGCCCAGACACCTAACCCCGATTCCCAGAGTTGAGCTCAGATGGGAAAGGATCCAGGGAGGGAAACTTTGCCTGGAACCCAGTCAGGAGGGGTCCTAGAGCCCTGGATTGTAAGTGTCATCTAGTAGTTATCCCCATGGCCCCTTCTGGCTCAAATTCCTTTTCCTCTTGGGTTCTAGGGCAGGAGAGGAAGCGGTGGGGGGGGGCAAGTAGGGCAGAAGAGGTGGCAGAGGAGATGCTTCAGTGGCTCCTCTGCCTAGGGAGAAACCCCTTCACCCCGGTTAGTTGGGGTCCGTGAGTTGGAAATTGGTGGGAGGGGGGCATCAGAAGCTATAGCTTCAGCTCAGCGTATTACAGGACACTGGACAGAGCGGGGCCTCCGCAGACTCAGAGATGCTCCCTCCTGGAGCAACAGTCGCTCAACTCCTAAGCCCTGCCCTCTGCACCCTGGCCTCTGGGTTGTGCTTGTCCCCTGGGCAGGCAGGAAGGGGTAAGATAACTGGTTTCTCTCCCATCCTTATCTCCACCAGGGACCAAGGATCATAGGACCCATGTTCTGAGACACCAAGCAGGCAGCTGGCTGGTTTCATTTTTGCTGTCTGGTTCTCACACTTCCGGCTGGTACAGACGCACTCCTTCAAGATCAAACTCTCCTACTGGGGTGTGCAGGAGCCAGAAACAAAACTGCCAGGTGCCAAGAGAGCCCAGCCACACACCTGGTCCAGAAGAACCCTGTCTGGGACAGGCCCCAGCTTGGCATCCACATGCAGCAGCCTGGAGCCAGCGGGCTGTATGTAGGGGTGGGAGAAGAGGAGTCCTCCACCACCAATTTCTCCCTGCCGTGTGGAGCAGAAGCCTGGTGCCGCCCTGAGGAAGCTCTCAGTCTGAGGGGGTGAGACAGGAACCTAACTCTCGGGGAACTCCCAGACTTATGGAAGATATACGGTCCTTTCTCTCCGGGGAGCCCTGAAGCTGGGGAGACCAAGACCTACCCCAGACACAGAGATCTGAGCATCTACAAAGCCTCGTTATCTATAAAAGGAAGTGAACAGGGAGCAGACCGAGTACTCAGGAGCTGAGGGAGGCAGTTAAGGAGCAATGGGTGGGGTGCAGTCCCCACCCTTCCTGTCTTGGGCTCACGTGCAGACATTTCAAGTCTGAGCTTTCGTATAGAGGGGAGGGCATATCAGCATCAAAACCAGAAGCAACCCGACAGTTTATTCCAAACGGAGGGCTGTGCCTCCCCCATTAGACTAGAAGGAGTTGCAACGACAAACAGCTTTCCCTCATCTTGCTAGGTCTTTGTCACCAGCAATCTCACCGCCTAGGAGGGACGGTTCCCCCAAACCAGAAAAGCAGAAAACAAAGCAGAGCGTGGCCTTGAGCTCCCAAAACAGATGCCAACACAAGCCCACTCATGCATTCGACAAACGTTTATTGAGTGACTACTACATGCCAGGCACTGCCGATACGAAGATAAGAAGCCATGGTATCCACCCTCGGGGACCTGACAGGTTAGTGATGGCAGCCTAGGTGACAGCAGCAGACACAGGGATCATGTGAACCCAGAGGGGCATTGAAAACAAACACCAAGGTTTAAGCCCATGTCTCTTGGACACAGCAGCCCTTTGGATGAATGAAGATGGATGAAGGAAGTCTCCAGTACTTCGAGTTAGCACATCATGGTACTTCTCAGTTCTTGTCTCTCTGTCCTCATCTCGTGTCTACTGCTACCACACACCCACACACCTCCAAGTCCCTGGAGTCTAACTTGTCTACTCCCGGTCACAACACTCATTTCTGCACTTAGGGCCATCACTGTCTTCCTCTTCTAGAATGCTAAAACAAAAAACAAAAAACTTGAGACCCCATGCTCAACTGAATGTCTGAAGTCAGCCCTCAATTCTCCTTCGCTTTTGGGGTCGGGGACAATTTATCATGCAGAGTCAGACCATTAAGGAAGTTTCCTGCAAGGGATGTGTAGGAACAAACACAAGAGCATGTCTGTCCCCTAGAACCAAGAAAACACTGCGAATTGATGTAAGGAAGCAGGCTGAGGTGAGGGGAGGTGGCACCGAGGGGTGTGTCCCCACCAGACCAGCACCAGCTGTCAGGGCTGGCAGTGATCTTCAGAGAGGGGTGGTGACTTGCCCAAGGCCATACAAGGAGTCAAGGAAGAACTTACAGGACTAGAATCTCAGGACCCCTGTCCCTCTGGGATGGACCACACACACACACACACCCTTCTAAGGAGAAGGGACAAGGGAGGGATAGGGAAAAACAAGGTGGATCCAGGGGTGCAAGTGAGGGAGCTGGGCCTGGCTAGGAAGAAGGCCCCACCCACTCAGGGCCAGCCCCACTCCACTCACCACAAGATCTAAAGAAACTTTGGGAGCATGAAGAGAACCTGTATGTTCACGATGGCCGAGGCTGGGGAGAAGCTGGAGGAAGCCACCCTAGAGAAAGCAGGCAAGGCTGGAGGGAGCATTCCATCCCCCTCCGCACGGCTGTGGGGGGCTCAAAGCTGTCAATCTCCAAGATGCTTCCT